CTCCACCTCTCCCTTCTTCCCCCCCTGTGTATGCTTTGCTCTCTGTCATGCGAAACTTGTGCTTGGTGAGGGGGAGCTGCAAGAACAAACGAAAGGGGTACCCCAAAGAAAACAAACGTGAACACAATTAAGAAAGGGGTTAACGTGCCTCTGTTGTACTTCATGTTGCTTGCCATAGAGGTGAAACTGCTTCGTTGTTGGATTGTCTCAACTCAAGGGCTTTCATTGTCTGCAATTGGATTGAATGTGCTTTGATTTTGGATCTGCTCATCTGTGTGGAATAAGGGCTGTTGTGGTGAAAATTCAAAATACAGAGAGAGAGAGAGAGAGAGAGAGAGAGAGAGAGAGAGAGAGAGAGAGAGAGAGAGAGAGAGAGAGAGAGAGCACATTCTATCAGGACGTGTATGCTTTGCTCTCTGTCATGCGAAACTTGTGCTTGGTGAGGGGTGTAAACCGTTTGTTTACTGTTTTATTATTTTGATTATTTGTTGAAATTTAATCCTTTGGGTGGTACAAACCGTGATGCGACTGTGACTAACGGACTGTGACTAACGGAATGCAACGCTTGTGCTGGACTAACGGAATGCAAAAGACTGATTTGGGTTGGTTGGACGAACGGAATGCAAAAGACTAGTGTGGTTGGGACTAACGGAATGGAAAAAAACTTGTGGTTGGATCTTTCAGGCGGCTGCATCGATGGATGTCAATGTGGGATATTTCTGCGATCCCGATGATCTTCCGGGGCTTGCACACTTTTTGGGTAATTTTGTTTTGCATGTCTCAAGCTGGCTTACAGCATATTCACACTTGAACACCCTCCCCTATCACCCTGTATCCTCCACTCATTGTCTCTCTTTCTCTCTCTCTTTCTCTCTCTCTTTCTCTCTCTCTTTCCCTCTCTCTTTCTCTCTCACTCTCTCTTTGATGGTGTCACATGTACTAACCAGCGAAGATGGTGTCTTTAGCTGGTGCAGGTCGCAGTAAAAGTCCGGGTAGCAGATATGAAGGGCGAGCGTGAGTAGTAGTAGTACTAGTAGTAGTAGTAGTAGTACTAGTAGTACTAGTAGTAGTAGTAGTAGTAGTAGTAGTAGTAGTAGTAGTAGTAGTAGTAGTAGTAGTAGTAGAAGAAGAAGAAGAAGAAGAAGAATCTCTCTCTCTCACTCTCTCTCTCTCTCTCTCTCTCTCTCTCTCTCTCTCAGAAGAAGAAGAAGAAGAAGAAGAAGAAGAAGAAGACGAACAAAAAGAAGAAAAAGAATCTCTCTCTCTCTCGCTCGCGCGCTCGCTCGCACGTGCATGCGCACACTTCCCCCCCCCCCTTTTCTCAGACACATTCTCAAGATTGAAAGAAAGGAGCTGCACTCCTCATAGGGCAACAATGAAATGAGAGAGCACAGCAGCAAACAGACCCGATACAACAATCGTTATGGAGGTCCAGTGGCAGGAATCGCTCAGCAACTTTCCTAAAGGGGCACTGCCATGATTTTTTGGAGGTGTGCGTGTGTGCCAATTTCCAGAACATGCCAATTTCCAACGCTGAGGGGATTTTATGTCCATGATTGTTTCTTCTGCCGGCCAAGTGCCGAGCCAAACACCTCTCCTTTCTTCCCCCCCCCGCAAAAAAAATAAAATGGATAATTTCTTGGTTTATGCATGTAATCCTTGCGCAGGGGCCGTTCTTATCTTCTTTCTCTGTATTGTTCTTTTTTTTTTTTTTTTTTTTTTTTTTTTAAACTCAAATACCATTCGTATTAAAAACAAAGCGAACCGAGGCCGGGGACCTCACAATTCAACCCGGAGTTATCCTGGCAGCATTAGCGAGTTTCGCTTATAAGTCTGGAAGAGCCAGAACTGAAGACGAATACCAAGCAATCTCGCTCCTTTTTTGTTACCCAATCTCGCTTACGGCCCAATACAGCCCGTGAATCGGTCAAGAACTATTGCTAATCTATGAAGTAAATCCTGCCTAAGTAACTCAACCTATCAAATTCACCATAGTTCCCAAGGCAGATCCACCATACAGAAAAGCAAAAACCAATACCAAAGGAGAGGCCCGTCGGACCAGCTAATAGCCGTGGGGAGCCTGGGTTTCCGTGACGAGGTTTCACACCTTGTACCCTTGGACCTCTGTAGGAGCTGCCATATTCCAGGCACCCTAGATCTCAATGGGTACAACCCGAGTGTGTACTTGTCAGCTAGATGCTAATTGGTCGTGCCCTAGGTAGCTCAGCAACATTGCCACAACTACGAGTAGGTCTCCCACTACCCCCAGTAGTTCTATTGCCTGCTACGGACAAACCCCAAACTGCCAAGCAAACGGACCCCAGAGCTAAAGCAAGGAGCATGCTGTACAGATAGCATGAAAGAACCCTTGAGTGAACAAACCCCAAACTGCCAAGCAAACGGACCCGAGCTAAAGCAAGGAGCATGCTGTACAGATATGAAAGAACCCTTGAGTGAACAAACCCCAAACTGCCAAGCAAACGGACCAGAGCTAAAGCAAGGAGCATGCTGTACAGATAGCATGAAAGAACCCTTGAGTGAACGGAAGGCGCTGGGTTACCAATCAACTCTACGACCGGACCGAAATCAACCAAGCAGACAAATTCAAGCTGCGAGCTAAGTTCGCTGCCTTGTGCTCTTCCCTTTCCTACAAGCAAGAGGCGTGTGGTAAAGTGCATGCTACAGCCAGAGATAGAGGGGAGCAGGGATCTGGCCCATAAATCCCGTCAGATGCGAAATGTAAGAAATTTAGTAAGCCCACTTCCAACTTCTAGCTCATAGGAGAGTCTTGCTGAAATCCAAAATAAGAACAGGCTTCGATCTGGCTTACTAACTCGGCCACCCACAGAGAACCCGAGCTTACGAAATACACCCCACCCGCGCACACCAAGGGCACCGATATTCCCGATGTTATAATTGCCACTAACAGGAGGGAGGAAACCCTAAAACATGAAAAAACGCTGTTATTGCTTACAAACCAAGTACTAATACTATGTCAAATGAAATTTCACTGACACCTGAAACTTATGAAGGGAGACCAGGAAACGACTGAAAACACCCAAGAATAAGATCGAGGATGGAGTAACTCGAAAGTCATGGAGAAGAAAATGGAATGGAATTTTGAATTTGAGGTAAATAAAAGGCCAAGATAAGAGTAGTCGATGCTAAAGTATGTCTCCATGTATTGTGATGCGGTTTCACTCAGTCGACCATACAGCCCGTGCCCTTTGCCCTACAGGTCATGTCTTCACGCTCCCGGTTGAGATAGTCACGAGTACTCTGTACATGCTCCTCAGAACAACAGTCCCACCGCTGCCAGTTGCCCTCCCACTGCTCCTAGAAGTGCGGCTGTCTGACTCTCTGTTAGCCAAGCACTAGAGCATCTCTCCCTTCTTTGTGTAGTTTGCAAATGGGCATAATACAGCAGTAGATAACACTTGAATTCTGGAGGTTGAAGGTCGTAGGAGGGACGGGAACCACCCTGCTCGCTCCCTGATATTCCACAGAGAGGCGCAGCCCTTTGTCGAGGCTGAGGGTGATGGCCGAACCTAGAGAGTATAGAGTACTCCATAGCTCTGCCCCCACACCCCGAATCCCGCACCTTGCTGCTGACACAGAGCGCCGCCGTCTCCGAACGGCGATACCATCGATAGTGCAGCGCTGTTCCCCTGCGCACTCCTTTTGAAAATTTCCAAATATTATCGTGTACGTTCGTCATGAAGTAAGCCACTCATAAGGAGTATTTAGCAAAGAGTATGGTTAGGTTAATGCACTCTAAATATTTCGTGCAAGAGAATGTCTTGGTTAATGCTCAGCGCCCTTGATCCCAACGGAGACGCTCCCACCACCACCAGAGGAACTCCCACTCCCATTGGTGGCGCCGCTGCCCGTTGAGCTTTGGGTCTTTCACGCTCCCAGTTGAGATAGTCAACAGTAGTTCTCACGTGCTACTCCCAACACCAGTCCCACCACCACCGGCCGCCCACCCACTGCCTCCGGAGGTGCCGCTGTTGGATGTGCCCGCTGTCTCGTACTAGACTATCTCTCTCTTTGTCGTGTTCACACTGCAACGAGTTTCGTTACTCGAATCTTGTAGATTCTGTTGTAGGAGGAATCGGAATCGCCCTGCTCCCTGGTATTCCACAGGGAGACACAGCCTCTTGTTGGAGCTGAGGGCTGTGGCCGAACCTAGGGATCGACGAAGAAGTCATCGTTCTGACCCACACCCTGAATCCCACACCTCGCTGCCCACGCAGAGCGCTGCCGTCTCCGGGCAGCGAGTACGCCTGGTAGCGCAGCGCTTCATTGGAGCGCTACCGGCCTCCTCTGGCCCCTTTTTTCCTTCTATCGTTCTAATTTTAACGGATATTGAGAAGGCCACTTTCCTTTTTTTCTTTCCCTTTGTCTGCACTATCCTGCATCCATGCATGTGTTTCCACATGCACTATCCTGTGCTCATGCATGTGTTTCCACATGCACCGAGTGAACCAGCAGGAATGCTTGCAGTCCATTTGCCCTTTTTCATGGGGCCCACGGGCATCCTCCTTTGTTGCACTACTGGTCCTCTCTGGAGCCCCGAAATATTCGGAAAGGCTCTAATCGTGATTCTGAAGTGGGTGGGGCCATGTACATGTATTGGAGGTCTAACCATTTTGAGTGCGAGCAAATGAATAATAGCTGGATCCTTTTGGGCGGTATTAGTAGGGTCTTCAACCGCCATGGGTGTGAGAGCGAGTGTGAGTGGGTTGTGTGTGCTGTGTGGGAGAGTATTGGCCTTAAGCACTGCTGTTACACAATGGGGGTGGGGGAAGATGAAAAGGGAGGCACAACTACTGGCAAATGCTTGGCCCTTGTGGTAGCTGGGCCCCCACTTGTGGCCCCAATGCTGCACCCTAAACCACTAGGGCAAGGGGCAAACGTGCGATTTTACCTCCCTTCACCAAGAGAGGTAGATAGCTATGTTTGGAGGGGTTCCCTGTATAGCCTTTAGGAGTAGTGGTAGGTAGGTCGTGAAAGATTAAAGAATTTGATAAAAGAAGCGTGTAGTTAAAAAAAATGAAAGTTTTGAGCTGAATAAAATATAGAAATTAAAGGAATAACTAGCTAAGTGCCCGCGGTGCGGGCGGTGTGGGCCATGCCCACAAAAATAAGAAATCTTGTAGGCAACCTGGCACGGACCACTCACATAAACGGAGACAGACTTAAAAAAAAATAAAAAACGAATCACAGGGTAATAAAGAATAGCCTGAAATTGGCTACGAAGTCTGAGTTTAATTGACGAATTGCATTTGCGGTGTGGGTGGTGCGGGCGGTGCGGGCTATGCCCGCAACCAAAACTACTGAAATGGTAAAGAAAGTACCATAGAGTAGAGGAGAGTGTCGTAGAGTGTCGTAGAATGGAGTAGTGTCGTAGAGTAGAGTGTCGTAGAGTAGTGTCATAGTGTTGTAGAGAGTCATAGAGTAGAGTAGAGTAAGGTGTCACAAAGTACAGTAGAGTGTCGTAGAGTAGTGTGTTGTATAGTAGTGTTCTAGAGTGTCATAGAGTAGAGAAGAGTAGAGTAGGGTGTCATAGAGTAGAGTAGAATGTTGTTGAGTAGTGTTGTAGAGAGAGTCATAGAGTAGAGCGGAGTAGAGTAGAATGTCATAGAGTGTCATAGAGTGTTGTCGAGTAGTGTTGTAGAGAGTGTCACAGAGTAGAGTAGAGAAGAATGTCATAGAGTGTCATAGAGTGTCATAGAGTGTCCTAGAGTGTTGTAGAGTAGAGTAGTGTCGTAAAGGAGAGTAGTGTCGTAGAGGAGAGTAGAGTATCGTAGAGGAGAGTAGTGTGTCATAGAGTATCGTATCGTATCGTAGAGTAGATTATCGAGATTATCGTAGAGTAGATTATCGAGATTATCGTAAAGTAGATTATCGAGATTATTGTAGGGTAAAGTAGAGTGGAGTGAAGTATAATGTCATAGAGTGTCGTAAAGTGTTGTAGAGTGTCGTCGAGTGTCGTCGAGTAGATTACAGTAGAGTGTGTCGTGAAGTGTCGTCGAGCAGCTTACAGTAGAGTGTCGTAGAGGAGAGTAATGTGTCGTAGAGTAGAGTAGAGTAGAGTAGATTGTCGTAGAGTAGAGTAGAGTATCGTAGAGTAGATTGTCGTATAGTAGAGTAGAGTAGAGTAGATTGTCGTACAGTATAGTATAGTAGAGTAGAGTAGATTGTCATTTAGTAGAGTAGAGAAGAGTAGACACTCTACTCTTCTCTACTCTACAACACTCTACTCTCTACTTTATGACACTTTACTCTACTTGACTCTACTGTAGAGTGTCGTAGAGTAGAGAAGAGTAGACACTCTACTCTTCTCTACTCTACGACACTCTACTCTCTACTTTATGACACTCTACTCTACTTGACTCTAAGTGTCGTAGAGTAGAGAAGAGTAGAGCATCGTACAGTGTCATAGAGTAGAGTAGAGTGTTGCTGAGTAGAGTAGAGTGTCATAGAGTAGAGTATAGTATCATAGTGTCATAAAGTAGTGTCGTAGAGTGTCGTAGAGTAGAGTAGTGTCCTAGAGTGTCGTAGAGAGTAGTGTTGTAGAGTAGTGTTGTGGAGTAGTGTTGTGGAGTAGTGTTGTGTAGTGTTGTGGAATAGAGTGTTATGGAGTAGTGTTGTGGAATAGTGTTGTAGAGTGGAGTATCCTAAAGTAGTGTTGTAGAGTGTCGTAGAGTAGACCAGAGTAGAGTAGGGTAGAGTAGAGTAGAGTATCGACGAGTAAATTAGAGGAGTGTCGTAGAGTAGAGTATCATTGAGTGCATTGTCTTAGAGTGCAACAAAGTAGAGTAGAGTAGAGTGTTGTAGAGTAAAGTAGAGTAGAGTAGAGTGGAGTGGAGTGTAGTAAAGTAGTGTCATAGAGTAGAGTAGTGTAGCAGAGTAGAGTATTATGTCGTAGAGTAGGGTATAGTTGAGTGTCGTAGAGTACAGTAGAGTGTCGTATTGTAGGGTGGAGTAGAGTGGAGTAGAGTGTCTTAGAGTGTCTATAGTGTCGTAGAGTGTCATAGAGCAGCGTCGAGTGTTACAGAGTGTCGTAGAATAAAGTGTTGTAGAGTGTCGTCGAGTAGAGTTTTGTAGAGTAGTGTCATAGAGTAGAGTGTCGTACAGTAGAGTGTCATAGAGTGTCATAGAGTGTCATAGAGTAGAGTAGAATGGAGTGTTAGAGTGTCGTACAGTAGAGTGTCATAGAGAAGAGTAGAGTAGAATAGAGTGTTGCAGAGTAGAGCAAAGTGTCATAGAGTAGAGTGCTGTAAAGTAGAGTAGAGTGCAGTAGAGTAGAGTAGAGTGTCGTAGACTAGAGCGTCGCAGAGTAGAGTGTAGCAGAGTGTAGTAGAGTAGAGTGTCGTAGAGTATAGTAGAGTGTAGTAGAGTAGAGTAGAGTGTCGTAGACTAGAGTGTCATAGACTAAAGTGTAGTAGAGTGTCTTAGAGTAGGGTACAATTGAGTGTCGTAGAGTACAGTAGAGTAGAGAGTCGTATTGCAGGGTGGAGTAGAGTGGAGTGTCGTAGAGTGTCGTAGTGTAGAGTGTCATCGATTAGAGTGTAGTAGATTAGATTAGAGTAGAGTGTCGTATTGTAAGGTTCGTGGAGTGTCGTAGAGTGTCGTAGAGTAGAGTGTTGTAGAGTAGTGTCGTAGAGTAGAGTGTCGAAAAGTAGAGTGTCGTAGAGTAGAGTGTCGTAGAGTAGAGTGTCATAGAGTAGAGTGTCATGGAGTAGAGTGTCATGGAGTAGTGTCGTTGAGTAGAGTGTCGTCGAGCTCGACGTGTCGTCGAGTAGAGTGTCGTCGAGTAGAGTGTCGTCGAGTAGAGTGTCATCGAGTAGAGTGTCATCGAGTAGAGTATAGTAGAGTGTTGTAGAGTAGAGTATAGTAGAGTGTCGTAGAGTAGAGTATAGTAGAGTGTCGTAGTGTCATAGAGTAGAGTAGAGTAGAATAGAATGTCGTAGAGCAGAGTAGAATAGAGTGTCGTAGAGTAGAGTAGAATAGAGTGTCGTAGAGTAGAGTAGAATAGAGTGTCATAGAGTAGAGGAGAATAAAGTGTCATAGAGTAGAGTAGAGCAGAGCAGAGTAGAGTGGAGCAGAGCAGAGTAGAGTGCCGCAAAGTGCCGTAGAGTGTCGTAGAGTGTCGTACAGTACAGTGTCATAGAGTAGAGCAGTGTCGTGGAGTAGATGCAAGTGTCGTAGAGTACAGTACAGTGTCATAGAGTAGAGTAGAGTGTAGTAGAGTAGAGTAGAGTCGAGTGGAGTAGAGAACTGCAGCCGTGATTTTTTTTGTTGTTGATTTTTTTTTCTTTTTTTTTAAAATATTTTTCTTGGAAAGATCATCACAAAATCTACATACCCTCCCATTTTCAGAGTTGTTGATGTTTTCCTTTCAGCACGAAAAATCGCCTAAGTTGGGGTAGTTTTCCTGTTGGGCCACACGTCGTAGAGTGGCAAGAATGCGAAATGAGACGATTTGGTGCGGCATTTATTTCACGATCTTAAATATTTTTTAAAATTTTTAATCTACATACCCTCCCATTTTCAGAGTTCTTGACGTTTTCCTTTCAGCGCGAAAAATCGCCTAAGTTGGGGTAGCTTTCCCGTTGGGCCACACGTCGTAAAGTGGCAAGAATGGGAAATGAGACAATTTGGTGCGGCATTTATTTTACGATCTTAAATATATATTTTTTAAATTTAAATATTTTTTGTATAACGATCACGACCAAATCTACAGGCCCTTCAATTTGCAGAGTTGTGGAGTCATCCTTCTGAGCACAAGAAATCAAGGAAGTTGGGGTACTTTTCCCATTGGCCAACATGTGCCAGAATGGCAAAAATGAAAAATGCAACAAAAGGGCGCGGCATTTATCTCATGGTCTAAATTTGTTTTTTTATTTCATTTTTTTGATATTTTTCGTGGAAAGATCACAACCTAATCTACAGGATCTCAATTTTTTATATTTTTTCTTCGATTTGTTTGAGCGCGAAAAATCGCCAGAGTTGGCGCTTGAGGGACTGGACCCGCATGCCACACTGTGCAACGTTAGGGTTTGGACACAGGCACATCCTGACCTGCCAGCTGCGTGGCGTCGGATACACTTCATAAAGAAGCAGTCCCCAAAAACACCCAGGGACCCAGTCGACCTGAGCGGTTATCAGATCAGGCAGTTGTGTATCTCAAATCTGTGCATGGGTTCAAACCCTGACGACAACCATTGGCAGTGAACTTTATAATCTTAATATTTGTGTGTGTGTGTGTGTGTGTGTGTGGGCGGGCGTGGGTGGGTGCGTGCGTGCGTGGGGGTGCGCCCGCCCAAAAACCCCAATGCCTTTTGCCATATTCCCTAAAAGAAAAAGAAAAACAAACGGCAAAAAAAAAAAAAGCGGCAAACGATGAGAACTTAAAAAAGAAAAAGGAAAAAAAGCAGGGAACGACGAAAAAGCCATGAAAGAAAAAGAAAGAGGGAGATGACAAACGCGCAGCCACAAAACAGATGACACGAAAACCGTGACGACAAAAGAAAAAAGAAAAAAGCACATGGAAAAGCCACGAACGAAAAAGAAAAAAAAGAGGAAGACGACAAATGCCCAGCCACGAAACAGACGACGCGAAAATCGTGACGATGGAAGAAAGGAGTAAAAAACACACGGCCGCAAAACAGACAGCGCGAAAACCGCAAAATGACAAACGAAGAACAAAAGGAAAATGAATATCCGCGCGGTTTGAAACAGACGGCGGAACAAAATGAAAAAGAGAAAGAAAAAAAAAGTCCGCGCCGGCCGCTTATCGACGGCGGCCGGTTCACGATATTCCATTGCATCTATGCCGCTGCACGGCCCCATGGGCGCTCACTCACGTTCTGGCGCGCTGTGAACAATTCGGTGTGCAGCGGACCATCAACCTCCCCCCCGCCCGCGATTGCCTTCATCCGCCGGCCCGCACCAAAACTTCAGCCCGATTTCGGAGTGCAGCGGACCATCAACCTCCCCCCCGCGACCAATGCTCCTTAAGGGATAGGATAAAATTATAAAATTAATACACGTGAATAAATAATTTTAAAATTCAAATGCAATTGTCTTTTGATGAGACGTAATGAAATGTTTGGTGTTCTTTTTGTGTTTGGCCCAGAGCATATGCTGTTTTACTCCAGTGAAAAGTATCCGAAGGAGGACAGCTACTCAAAGTTCATCGGGGAGGTATTATTGCGATTCACATGGTCATCGTTTTTTTTTTTTTGTTTTTTTTTTTTTGCGTTTTCCTCTATGTATAGATGGTTTGGCTGTTGTCCACTCCTTTTTTCTTTCTCTCTACGATATCTCGATATACACCTGTATTGTCATTGGCATGGTTACCTTTTTTTTTTCCAACTTTTTTGCTTTTTCCTGGGACATATAGAAACTTTTGTCATTGGCATGAGAGAAAATTCAGATGAACTACTCATGCAAAGCAGGCAGCCAGACAGCATCCGTACAAATACACAGTGTAAAGTCAACTCGAGGTATTCAAATAAAAGTAACCATGTCAACTGCTCTCCTTTAAAAAAAATTAATTATACATTGTTTCAACTTTCTAGATATGCGCCGGTTTTCTATTGGCATGCTCTATCTCCTCCCCGCCCCCCCCGCCCCCCCATGGTATACACATGTTGTGTCATTGGTGTGCTCTCCTGTTTCTTTTTCTCGTTTTTTTCCCCTGTTTTTCTGGATATACACCAGTCTTGTGATTGGTATGCCCGGCCGTGCCCACACAAAAAAAAAAAGTTGTTTTAAATTTGGTAAAGAATTTCGATGCAACCCTGAGGCAAAAGTTGTTCAGTTGATTTTTCTAAATAACATAGTTTTTTTTTCGGAATTATTATTATTATTATTATTATTATTTTATTAATATTATTATTATTATCTACACCTACTATAAGAACTGCTAAACGTCATATCTCACGGCCTGAATCGCAGGCCGGTAACGCGCCGCGGACGGCCCAGATCGCAGGCCGATCAGAAAACTTTGCGATCTGGGCCGTCCGCGGCGCGTTACCGGCCTGCGATTCAGGCCGTGAGATATCGGTACCTGAGGCGCCCGTTCGCCTGCCCGTCGGCACGTAATCGTGGCCGGGCC